TTTTCCTTTTTTTAGATTAAAAACAAACTCTGGCAGTCCTCATAAAACAGGAGCATCAGAGAAGGGATGTCACCATCTGGCCAAATAAAAACCTCATGGTGGGAACTCTCACTCTTCACAACACGCTTATGTTCACTCTCATCAGGACGGGAGGAAACAGAAGAGCAGAGGAGGCAGGATGAAGGAAACGTTTACCCAGTAGAACCAGTAAAGAAGTTCTCCATCGGGAAAACTGAAGCTGAACTGAGTGTTCTTCTTCCTGTCCAGTCCGACCCAATCTCCCTCCCCTCCCCTCCCCTCTCCTCCCCTCCCCTCCCTGTTGGTTTGACCTCAGCTTTTTCCCATGACCACATTTCTCAAGAGCGTGGTCACAGCATCCATTTCACTATAGAATATAAATAGAGCTCCTCCAGCTTCCCACTATTTGACAGAAACTCACCAAATACCTTCACAACGATGGCAAACTCCAGAAACAAAGAGCAGACGAGCCCGAACAACATTAGAGAACGGTTTCCGTTTTACTCAGTCACCCTCTAATGCCTGTATTGGCTGCCTCTTGTATTCCAAGGGCATCCATTTAGCCAATCACATTAGACTGACACAATCCAACCGATTGAATTAAGCCGCAAAAAATAACATCAGCGTGACCACCGAGCCAATTCCAGCTCCTGTAACCGAGGCAGGCAGCACGATGTTTGATTATTTCCAGTGGAGGACGCCGCCCAACCAGAGAAGATGAGACACCTTCACTGTAAATACTCCAGGGGGCAGGGAAGGTCGATGTCCATGTCCCATCTGTTAACATGGATGGTATTTATTGATCTAATGCCACTACGTCTCAACTGCAGGCAACGATTAAAGCAGCAAACAATTCAAATCTTTTGTGATTTCGTTGGACACGTCCATTAAACATTCACAGAACCACAAACGTTGGATTTAATAACTGGTCCAACTTCAAACAAGCTCCGCAGATCAGACGTGCGCCACATCAAAACGCAGTAATATCACACCTCGGACATGACACCCAGCATTAATGTTGTTCTGTGCAGATTTTGTGCTTGACCTCTCCTGAACTAATCCAGAGGAGTGAAAATAAACATTTGACAGAGGTGGAACATCTTCTTGTGGTTGTGTTCCTGCTTTGAGGACGTGTCTGAATCTGTCTGGATGTGTTCACCTGCAGGTTTCAGTTACTACAGAAGCGGCTGAGGAACATCACATTTCACTGACGATCAGGGGGAGAAAATGAATAATTACTTTCTCCTCTGCTCCTGTAGCTTCCACAGACCGACCGTTCGTGTTGTCTCTTTTATACAACGTCTCTTTTTGTCCACCTTTGCGTGTCCATCCATTTGTTTATCCTCAAAACTCTTCTCAGATGCATGTGGTGCACCTGAGGGTTTGTGAAACTGACAACTTCGTGACACCTCTCTCGCACACACACAGGTGCATGTCATGCATGGCCGGGCTTGCAGCACAGCAGCCGCGCAGCAGCAAACACCTTAATTGTGAGAAATGCAAGATGACTTTCTCTGGGTCTGTAAAACGAGGGGTCATTATCATACTGCAGCACAGTTCTCATCTTACCTCCAGGAGGATGGGATTTCATATCAAATGGATTCACACGTTTGCTCAGATGCAAGTGTTCCTCCTTTAGGAATTTAAATGATTTAAAAGTGTCTCTGCATTTCTTTTACAAGCCTCGAGGAAAATACTTCTGCTACACATTCTCATGTTCATGTTCCATCAAAGTCCAACCTTTTATACATTTTGCTTCAGTTATGAGACTGAAACGAAGAAGTAAATGTATGGATATACGGTTTACTGGGTTTTTATCCTCATCCATGTCTGTATCTCCAAAATATTTCCAGGAGCTGTGAACCAACAAGTTTCTGCGTCTGCATTTGTTGCTTAAAAAAAACAACACATTTGAAACCAGTCATCACTTGTATGAAAGTTTATCATCATCTCCACCAAGCAGGTTAAATTTTAAGATGGGGCGCCTGTCTTCGATGAATCCTTTACATTTTCTGTTTTATATTTCTACTCTAAAGTTCATGCTTGCAGAGGTAAGTCCTCTTTCGTCCCTAATTTAATTTCTCTTAAAAATTGGGTCAAGTCAGTACATTTTTATTGCATTGGAGTGAAATTTTGAAACTCAAAAACCTGCAGTTTCTGATTAAAAAGAGGAGTTTAGCTTTCCCCCTCCTCCTGTTGCAAATATTCAAAAAACGTGTCGTACCACAAAACATATTCTGTGGATGATTTTAAGAATGGGAGCTCAAAAAGAACTACTTTTAATGAACTGTAAGGCAGATTTGAGATCAAATAATTGTGGCCCGATGATAACAGCCTGAAGATGGGAGGTGGGAGAAGAAGCAGGGAGGTATAATTTGCATGACTCAGCTCTGAGGTAAGGGCATTCCTCTGGGGAGCTGTTTGGCTTCTGCACAAAATCCTGTAGAGCTGCAAACAGCTCAGAAGCATCTGTTTTGTTTTTTTTGCAGGAGCAACAGAGATGTCGGCAGGAGGTCCACCAGCACAGAGGAAGGGCTTTGACTCATTTCTCTCTAATTTGAATCCCTACAAATGTCGCAATTCACAAGTGACCATGGTGGAAAGATCGTACAGCTCAGTATATTCCATGCAGTGTAAATGTAAGCAGGAGTGAGTGGTATGAAAAAGTCCCAGAGAAACTAAACACCTTTTGTGTTGAAGTTTCAAATAGTCCCAAATCGTCCTCTGCACAGACATGCATCCTGTCAAGTAATAACTGGGCCTTTGTCTCATGTCCATCAGTGAAGTCAGAAACGGTCTTACCTGGCAGGAGTTGCAGATCGATGCACGTGCTGCCGCAGGGACTCCGGACACTCAGTGGTGGAAATGAAGCAGCAGAGTTGATGCAGGAGACTTTAAACCATCATCCTCCTCTCAGCACGTTCAGCTGCTTTGTGCACAGTTTCATGTAGAGAGACTCAGGTCGACACCTCAGCTGAGGTCTGCAGGAGGAAGCCACTACCCACTACTGAACCCCACACATACCTGTCAGAGAGAGAGAGAGGGGGG